TTCCTGTCCCCAGATATGTGCAGCCTTCCCCACTATCAACATCTGGCACCACATGGTACATTTGTTATAATCAATGAACCTCCATCAATACATCAATAGTCAACCAAAGTACATAGTTACATTAGGGTTAATTCTTGGTGTTGTACATTGTAAGGGCTTTGACAAATGTATAATGACATGTATCCAACATGATGGTGTCCTGAGAAATAGTGTCACTGCCCTAAAAATCCTCTGTGTTCCCCTATTCTTGCTTGTATTATTGGAGCCCCTGGCAACCACTGATCCTTTTGTCTCCATAGCTTGCCTTTTCCAGAATGTCATATACTTGGAATCATACAGTATGTAGCTTTTTCAGGTTGCATTGTATTTTTTCTCTTACTAAAATGGATCTAAGATTCCTCCATGTCTATTTGTGGCTTGCTGGCTCATTTCTTCTTAGTGCTGAGTAATATTCCATCGTCTTTATGTGCTTTGGTTTATTTATTCATTCACCGGTGGGAGGACATCTTGGTTGCTTCTACGTTTTGGCAATTAAGAATAAAGCTGCTGTAAACGTCTACATGCAGGTTTTGTGTGAACATAACTTTTAAACTATTTTGTGTTAATACCAAGAAGTATGATTGCTGGGTAAAGTAATAGAATGTGTTTAGTTTTGTAAGAAACTGCCAGACTGTTTCAATACAGCTGGACCATTTGAGTTCCTTTCTATATATTTTTACGTAGCCTTTTTAATGTCAAAATTGCACCTGGGTGTACCAAGATGGTCTGCCCTGGTCCTCCAAATAGTTTGCTCAGTACTCAGTGTGACTTTTCAGCTAGACTCAATTCTCAAAAAAAAAAAAAAAAAAAAAAAAGACTCAATTCTCCAGCTCAGAAAATTTTCTTAATTTCTTTAAGGATTATTCCTCCATGGGCTCTGCTCTCTACTTCTAGAATGTTTATTATGCAAACAATTTGAATTCCTGGGCATTTCCTCTCTCTCTCTCTCTCTCTTTTCTTTATTCTTTTTTCCCTCCAGACTTATAAGATAGGTTCTCAAAGTGGTCTTTTTCTTATATGATTTTTAATCTGAAAGTAAATTTCCTGTTTTGCATAATTTCCCCAAATTCATGTATGAATTAAGTTTTGAGTATTATTTAAATATATATAAAATTTTGGGACACCTGTGTGACTCAGTGGTTGAGCATCTGACTTTGGCTCAGGGTGTGATCCCAGGGTCCTTGGATTGAGTCCCGCATCAGGCTGTCCGCAGGGAATCTGCTTCTCCCTCTGCCTAGGTCTCTGCCTCTGTCTGTGTTTCTCATGAACAAATAAATACAATCTTTAAAAAAAAAAAAAAGAAAGCTAAGTTCATAGAGGAAACCATCCTCCCAAAGTACAGAGAGGCATGTGCATCCACAGACACAGTTGAAGTCTACATGCTTTGCACAGAAACCTTGGATTTCCATAGAAATGAGTGTATTTCCAGGTGAGATTACCATTGGATCCCTTATAAAGTAGATTTCCCTCCCCAACCATGGGGAGCATCCTCCAACTCATTGAGAGCCTGAATACAACCAAGGGAGAGGAAGGCAGAAGTTATCCCTTTTATTTCTGTCTCAATGCCTGAGCTGGTCATCCCATGTTATCTTCTCCTACTCTTGAACTGAGCAATATGCATGGGCTCCCCTGCACATTTTTTCTTAAAAAAAATATATATATATATAAATTTGGGGATTTTACTGTTTCTCCCTTTCTTTAGATTCTAGTAACCCTGGTAACAAGGTACAATACTCGATATCTTTTCTCATATGTCTAGCAACTTTTCTCGATTTGCTCACTTTAAAGGGGGGACCTAGATCTATATTTTGGAATTGTAACTGAAATGATTCTATAAAAATTATGTAGCTTATTTTCAAGCATGTTGGCTTCAGACAATGAAGAAAGAAGAAGAAAATCTGGTTGTTTATGGTTTAGTCGGCAGCAGGGAGGGAGGTGGAGGTGGTCTACTTGGCCATAATTAGGGCAGGGAGAGCTCCTGAGAAGAGGACAGAAGATTGCTGCTATTCTGGGCAACTTATTTTCAGTATTTACTGAGGCAGCCCAAGGTTAGGCAGAGGATTATCTCCCTTCTCTAACTGGCATGAGAAGCCAGGTTAGGAACCTGTCGGCCATTATCCCTCCTTTTCTGTGCAAAACAAAAGATGGGCTGAGTCATGGCCTTTCCTCCAAGGGCAGACACTTGTGCAGTTCCTAAATCTGCTCAGCTTGTTTCCTGCCTGTGGCCAGCTCACCCGTAGTCCTAGCCCTGGTTGTCTATCATAGGGCCTAGAGAGTCTCTGCTGGGGACCCTGCACGACCTCCAGAGACACCCTTCCTTAGTCAATGCATCTATCAGTATGGTTTCATTTGTACTATATCTCGTAGAAATTCCCTAAATTTTCAGGACCAGAATTTGTAACAGAGAGGAGTTAAGTGCATGGGTTCAAATTATGATCCACGAACAAAGATCAGGAGACTAACTTTAAAAAAAAAAAAAGGAGACTAACTTTTGGCAGGTCAGAATACGAAACTGAATTTTACAGTTTCACCACTAGGTGGTGCCACCAACTGCCGAAAACAATGGTTGTCATCTTGGGACAGCCAAGAACCACTTGTATCTAGTACAAGCACAAGTTGGTGAGCTTGTATGGAACTTGTATGCACTTATGTATATGTGGATGAGCATGTGTGCATGCAATTCTCGTTGCGTGAGTTTACCCACAGGGCAATTTACAGGGGTGCACAGGTATGTAAGTGTGTGCATAAGTCTGTGCACCCTGGAAATACGAGCATGAAGCTAAATGATAGGAACTCCAAAAGGCTGACCTATTAGCTGCATGGTCTGAAACTCCAGTCCTTCAGCTAGGAAGGCAGCCCGTGGGGTGTGCAGAAGACCAAACCCTATGGGAGAAATATAATCACAATGCTATGGAACAGCTTTTCTGACACATTCCTCTAAAGGCATCAGTCCTGCAAACCCTGGTGTCCAGTCAGGCCTCCAGGAAGGTCTCAGACACTTCTGCAGTCCCAGAGGACTGTGGCCATTATATCTTCCCCCAAGTGCTTAAAGCATTGAATCAAATACCCATTCTGGGATCCTGTCTTCTCTCCAGATGGGAAGTGACTCTTGCACCCAAGAAAACAAATGTCTCGTGTAGGTGTGTGTGTGTGTGTGAGAGAGAGATTCACAGTCAGCCACATCTGCCCATCCCTCTCCATGTTATCTCTTTGGAAGGTCCCCAGCTGATCTCAGACTCTCACTCTGGATGCCCCCTCACTCCTGGAATAGTGCTGTCTTCCTTATACGCTGTAGCCCACAAAGCTGGAAAACCTTAAGCAAGCTCTTTCTTTTCTCTGGCCTCAGTTTCTCTAACTCTCAGTGAGGGCCGGGTGTGGGGGATTCCAAGAGGCCCTCTGCACTGACCAAAGCTCTGCATGTCTGCAGTTTGCAGGTCCCTGCCCCCATCCCAGGGCTGCTGTGGAGTGGGAGTCTCCTTAGAGAAGGAGGAGAAAGTTCTGTTTGCTTTCCTCCTCTTTGCCGCAGACTTCTCTCCTTAACAGGCCCTGAGAGAAGGCAGCTGGGCTCTCAGGGCCCCGGAAGCCATAGGAGGGAGTTCTCGCTCTAGCATCATTAAAAGTTTAAGTGGCTTTCCCTTGGAGGGTGAAAGTCCCAGGATTCATTAGAGCTGCTGCCCCCTGAGTGCAATTTGGTTGAAGGGAATGTTTGGCATTTTCATCCAGAGGAGGTTTTCACGAAGGGTTTGAGGCCTCCTGAGAGTGCTCGTCTCACTGAGGTCTGAGAGAGAAGTCCCCAGAGGTCACCTCTTGCCCTGGCACTTTTCCAGAGGAGGAACCCGGCTGGGTCAGGGAATGGTCTTGCCTAAGGACACGCAGAGGCTGGCTGCTGAAAACATTCCTCCCGGGGTGGGGCGGGGGACAGCACCCCAGGGAAGGGTAGGAAGGGTGAGGGCCTCACTGTGGGGGCCCCCGGGCCTCTGTGGTCTTGTGGAGCGAGATGGAGAGCTGCGTGTGCAGAGGGGCTTTAGTGATGGCTTGACAAGCCCATGGCAGAAAGGGCTCCCCAGGGAGATAGTGGGCGCCCGAGGCATGGGAGCCAGATGGACAGGGTTTGTTTGGGGTGAACAGAGGGGATTCGGGACCAAGGGGCAGGGAGTCTGGGGCTGCTCAGTCCTGCCCGCTCTGTTCTTCACCGGGAAGGAATGGCATGTCACTCCGGCTGTGCAGAACACAGGGATGGGGCCAGAAGCCTGCCATTTATGGCCAGTCCAGACCGTTGAAGCAGGAACCGAGAGGCTGGGACGGGGTCTGGCCTCTCAGGGCTCAGAGCCTCCTTCCTGCCTCCAGCAGCACGGGCTAACACCCAGACTGGCCAGGCCCCAGGCCCTAGAGACCGTGCGCAGCTTCCCTAACCATGAAAACCTGCCCGCGGTCCCTCACTCTGCTCCCGAGGTACAGGACAATTCGTTCTACAGGGCCTGTCCCTGTCCCGGAGGATTCCGGTGGCAGGACAGGGAGCCAGAGACTCTCAAATGCTGAGGTCTCCCCAGTCCAGACTCCACTGCAATAATATTGACGGCAACCATGTGTCGGGGGCTGGCTTAAGCCCTTGATAAATCTTAACTTCTCGAACCCTTAGAAAACCCTAGGTCTGAGGGAAGGTCCTCTTACTGGCCATTTTAGACATAAGGAGGCACAGCACAGTTAAGTAACTTGTGCACGAGCCACAGGGCCAGTAAATCGTATTGTTCTAGAACCCACATTCTTACTCGCTATGTGGTATGTCTAAGAGTGGAGGGAGCTGAGGCCAGGGAGGGGAAGGGGCTGGCTTGGTCACCTGGCCAGGTGGCAGAGATGGAGGCGGCTGGACTTCTGTCCCCAGACTCGGGGCCCTTCCTTCCACAGCCCGCCTGACCGCTCCTCTGTCCCCACCCAGCCTCCCCGTGGACCTCCCCAGAGTTTACAGTCGCCTGGCCTCACGCTTGGCAGGCAGCTCCAGCCCAGAGAGGCTGCGCCCACATTCCCTGGCTGCTCTCCAGCCCGCGGGAGCTGAGACAAGGTCCAGGGACTGCGAGGCCGGGCAGAGGCTGCGGAGGGGAGTAAGCAGCACGGAGCCGCCGAGTGGAAGGACTGTCCAGCTCCCAGATGCTAGGCCTCGTGGGCTTGGTCATAGGCGCCGCTGTGGCCGTGCTGCTGCTGCTGCTGCTGGCCGCCTGCCTGTGCCGCGGACGGCAGGACCCCGACGTGGAGAGGAACCCACCGGCTGCAAGGAGGAACCGAGTCCGGTGGGCCCAGCCTTGGTTCTTCCCGCGCCGGGGCCAGCTGGGACACTTGCACTACTTCCACCATCCTGGCCACGTGTCTGGCATGCGCCATGCGGGCCTCCACCACCACCACCTCCACCACCACCAAGCCCACCATCAAGGCCACCTCCACCACCACCATGCCCACCACCTCGCCCACCTCCACGTCCACCGAGGCCACCGCTGACACCTGGGAATGGCAGCCACCGCCTGTCCTACCATCACCAGGATGTGGACCCCCATGCTCCCATGCAGAGGGGCGCCTCTCTGTGGTAAACGCCGGGGACTGTGCCCTGGTCCTGCTTGGCTTCTGCGGACCACGCCCCACGCCCTCTCTCCATGAGGAGAGAACTGAGGGGATTCGGGGGGGTGCCCTGTGCACACTGGAGGGTCACAGGGTGAGAGTGGGGGTGGTCCTTCGGGGACGGACACTGCCTTGGGCCTGTAACGCCCAGGGGACCCCGGTGCACGTCGATGCACAGAAGATGGGCTGTGCTCTCTGAAGTGCTGTCTCCTGACTGACGCAGGCCCCTGGCCAGGGGGCTACCTAGAAGGGGCCAGTGCCCTCGAATTTGGAGAAGGCAGTATGAGGCTGCAGGGTCAGTTCACCTGTGCCTTGATGCAAGAAAATAAAAACCACTAAGAAGCTTTTGTGAAGAGGCTCTTGATTGTAACTCAGGTGGGCGAGGGAGCAGCCAGGTGTGTGTCTGCACTGCCCTGGGACCTTCCTCTCTGAGAGGTGAATGCCTGACACCCGGTGCCTTTGGCCTGGTGCTGGAGGGCCTGCCTTGCACGGGGGGAGGCAGGGCGGGCCCTGTGGTGCCCCCAGTGCACTAGGGAAGGAGAGCTCAGGACCTAAGCTCTGAGGGAGGATTTGGGGTTTGCACGCAGCCCTGACTGGAGGGGGCTCTCTGTGTAGCAGGGGGCTCTGGGCTTCTGTGGGACAGTCCGGGGTCTCTGAGAGAAGAGGGGTGAGACCCCCTCAGGCTGGTCCCCAAGGGCCCTACCTCCAGTGTTCTTTCCAGCTCATCTCCAGGGCAGACTGAGCTCCGGGACCTGCAGAGGCCCCACTCTGTGGGCTCTGCTGAATTCAGTATTTTCTTGGTAACTGGGCGGGGGTTCTTAGCGAAGCCTTGAGTCTCCAGCTCCCTGTGTCCACTGGTACCTGTGTATAGCAGAGGGTGGAGAGGCCTGGCTGGAGGATGCGGTGCGGGGTGGCCTTGGGAGAGTGCTTGCCTCCTCCAAGATCTCAGTTTCCTCTTCCCTAAAATGGGATAGATAGCAGAGACTCCTTCTTGCCAAAGCCTGGAGGCATGTTCCAAATAGCCCACGAATAGTTGGCGGAATTCCACAGGGAGGAAGGAAATCTCATTCTAAGGCTTTCAGCTGGTGCTTGGGAGGGAAGTGGAGGGAGGAGAGCCTTGGGGCCCGGAGAGCTGGTGGGGAGGGGCTCGAGAGCAGGCCAGAAAGTCAGGGGCCTGGTGACTCATTGGAACAGAACATCCTGTTTCTTTTCTATTTCCTGGTGGATTCTCTGAGACTATTGTGGGGTGCGAGGGGGAGAGGGAGACAAATTCACCCTGACAACCACACTAGATTTCTGGGCTGGGCCCTGGGTCAGTATGTATTGCTGATTTTATCTCTGCTGTGCCCTTCACAACCTCCCCACCTCCTGCATTGCTATGTTTGCCCTAGCCCATGCCCCGTGCCCCTGCCTGGATTCCTGCCCGCCTCCAGCCCTGCCCTTCCTGAAGCATCTCTGCCCTGTGGCCTAAGGGATCTACCCACACACCCCATCACCCTGGGGGGAAGTCTCTGCCTCTTGGATGGTAATTCAAGTCCCCCCCTGATCTGGTTCCTGCCCCCTGCTCCTTTTGTCCTGTCCACACTGCTCTTGTACCTTCCTCTCTCTGGGTCTTTGTTCAAGAAGAATTTGTTGCTCCCTCCTATAGGTTTCCAATGTGTTATTAGTATTTATTTTTGCATTTCTGTTGGAACACGATCACATGGTGTCCTTCCCCAGAGATTTCTGGCAGGGTTCATGGCCTCTGCCCTCATAGATCTGAGAACCTTTGAGGGCTCCCTGCCCTCAGCACAGAACCAGCCCTCACAACAGATGCTCAGGAAAAATTGTCCAACCTCATGCTCTCTGGAAAAGCAAATATGATTGGAATAACCACTGCCAGACGTTTGGGGCTTGAGGGATGCCAAGTATAGCAGTAGGGCCTCAAGAGGATTAGGCCTCTGGGCTCCTGGGGCCTTGCTCAGGGGGCTTGGGTTCCCATCCATCCCTGGTATTGGGGGGGGGTTGAAAAGTGGGAAATATTTAATAGATGGATGTGTGTGGCCTGCCGGCTTGGAACATCCCCTCTCCCTCATCTCTCTGCAGAGCTCCATGTCAGACTGAGATGGCCTGTCTTTCCTAAGCATGGCCTGGAGTCTCTGGGAGAGCTCTAGCTCTCTGCTCTAGGATGTTTGCCATCATCTTTGCCCTTGCTAAGGTAAGGTAAAGCATAGGATGTAGTCTTTTTCTGATCAGTTGATGACAGTGGATGTGGGAAGACACATAGGTATCTAAGTGATAGTTATCTTGGGGAGTCCCATGGCATCTGAGGTTCATGGGCAGGGGCTGTATATCATAGGATGACAGTAGTCACAAGAATAAGAGAAGACACCCAGAAAAAAAACCCCTTAGTACAGACATCTCTGAGCTGTGGGAAAGCATTTATGGCTGTCTTGATCTTTTCAACTTGCCTGATAATACTACTGCCACTTAGCACAGGACAGAGCTGTTGTGGGGATGGTTGAGGGCGAGGATCCTGAACTGAGCAGAGCACTAAAGGGACGTGCACTTCATGCACTTTAGCAAAGATCGCTCCTTTTGCTCTGGGCTTGAGAGGCCCTGCTGGTCATCCCACAGTACAGACTGCCAGTGTGACCTGAAACCCGGAGGAGCCTTCACAGCAGACTGGGCCTATCCTCATGCTATCACCAGGTCTCTCTCATTGTGCCACCCAGCCTCCATTCAAATATTGAATGCCTATTGTGAGAATGGACCAGAGGCCTATTTTTTTTTTAATTTTTTTTTTTATTTTATTTTATGATAGTCACACAGACAGAGAGAGGCAGAGACACAGGCAGAGGGAGAAGCAGGCTCCATGCACCGGGAGCCTGACGTGGGATTCGATCCTGGGTCTCCAGGATCGGGCCCTGGGCCAAAGGCAGGCGCCAAATCGCTGCGCCACCCAGGGATCCCCAGAGGCCTATTTTACTGATGAGTCAAGAAGGGCCCTCAAATCTCAGAATCAGTTAAGGAAACCTATACAAGGCAGAAGATAAGAGGCCAAGCAATTGCCCTTTATTCCAGTTTAAAGATGCTGAAAAATGCACATTTACAATAGGTGGCCTCCAACTATATGCATCCACAAAGAACAGGCAAACCAGAAGTCAAAGAGCAAATAACTCGGCTTGAAACCTGACTCCTCTGGTGCCTTCTACCTCCTGAATTGGCTAGTTGATCTTGGTAATTCAATCTGAAACTACACACCACAGACTGGCTCATCATGTTTCCTTCTCTCTGCTCTGGTTGCTCCAGTTAATACCAATAATTTGAGGTGTCCAGCTTCCTGCCATGGGCCCAGCTTGCCCAGGGCTGCTCACACAGAGAAAGAGCCCTGAGCTCATGCTGGAAAAGGGAAGAAGGAGAATTTGACAGGCTTCATTTTAGTTCAAGTAGTTGCTCTCATTCTGCGGTTAGGCAGCTTCCTAAAACTAGTACTAAAGAAAATTCACTGGGGCCTTGGAGAACTTGCAAAGGACCCAGGCTGTGTGACCTTGGGCTGGCCCTTTGCCCTCTCTGGGCCTTTGCACTCTAATCAGTAAAAGTGCAGAGAAGGTGATTGCTCCGTGGCCCTGTTGCTGCTGGGAAGAGTATTGAGCTAGGAGGGAAAGGAGGGGAGCCCCGTACCCCCCTATAGCCCTTTGGTGCTCTTGTTTTTACTGCTACTACTACTACTTTCACTACTACTAGCAGTAGGCTATATAGGCAGGTCATTGAGCTTTTGACTACACGCATTTTGTCTGTAAAATGGAGACAAGATCACTTCACAGGGTTGCTGGAACCATTCTATGAGATAATGCCCGGCTGTGTCTGGTATCTGGAAGCATTGTTTTGCACTACTCCATTCCTCGTAGTTTGGGTAAAGCCTCCCTTCTGGAAGTGGGGTGGTCTCGGGGGGTTAGCTGTGGGAGAGCTGTGATGGAGTGAGAGGATGCAGCCCTTCTGGCAGACTTACTCAGGCGGCCTGGCCTGGCTCACCCCTCACCCAGAACGGGTAAGTGGTGAACCCAACTGCTCAGTGCTGGGACTCGTGGGTGTGTGTGTGGGGGGTGGGGTACGTGCAATCACCAAGGGGCAGGCAGCTGTGCGGGTCCTGGCCCACAGTACAATTGGTGGAAGGAATTCAGGAAGTGCTCCCAGCTACTCAGACATCTCGGAGCCTTGTCTCAAGCAGGACAAAGGCTGCAGCACCCAGGGATGAGTGTCCATGGCCTGGCCCCTGGGGTGGCCCCCACATTAGGAGGCCACGGTGCCGCGTACAGCCCTGTTGCTCGGGGAAGCCCAGGGTAAGTTTTCACAGCACCTGAGTGTGGGTAGCAGGTGTGAGGAAGCAGGCGGCCAGGGGGGCCGCGGGGAGGCCATGCAGAAGAGGGCTTCTTCAGACAGGGGCCACAGGGCAAAGGAGCCCCAGAGTAAGTGGTTGAGGGGGCTCAGATCCTGGCGGGAGCATGCCCTGTCCTATCTAAACGGCACCCTCCGTCCCACGTAGAAAGGAGGCCAAGTGAAAGGGACCACAGTGCCTGCTGAGGCCCCACGGCCCTAGAGGTGACCCCGCAGTGCCCCCTCCCCGACCTCGCCCAGAGCAGCGTGGCCTCCTCCCCACCTGCGTTCCTGCCTCCTGCACGCGGCTGGAGCCCGGACGGCAGCAGCTACGCTGATTCAAGGACTGGCCCAAGGTTCTTCCAGGGGAGGAGCCCAGGCGCATCCTGGATCCCCACGAGGGGGAGTATTTTGTCTTTTGTCTGAGCAGACAAACCCTTGAAATCGGTAGGCGTCACCGGAGGGCCGGGTTGGCAAGGTTCCCTCTGAGCCAAGTCTTCTGCTCCCTCTTTCTCAGCCCCTCCGAGTCCAGGGAATCTTGAGCTCCCATCTCTCAGGACGGCTCTTCTTCCAAAAAGCTGCCGGTGGAGTTGACCACGGCTCTTGGGATTGTGGCCGAAGGCCTAGAAAACAGTAACAGGACCCACTGAGGCCTGACTGGTGCAATGCGGAGTGCCCGATGGGCCCCCGGGGCCTCGACCCAGGGCCTCAGACCAGCATCTGCCTAGGAGACCACGAGGACAGCGGCTGGAAGAGCAGAGTGCCGGCCAGAGCCCCCTGTTTTGGAAGGGGGGCCTAAAGCTCTAAGACACGCCCGGTTGCTCAGCAGGTCAGCTGCCACGTGGGGCCATGGAAACAGCCGTGATTGGAGTGGTGGCAGTGCTGCTTGTGGTCACCGTAGCCATCACCTGCCTCCTCTGCTGCTTCAGCTGTGACTCGAGGGCCCAGGATCCTCAGGGGGGCCCTGGCCACAGCTTCACGGTGGCCACCT